TGATATGGAAACAATGAAACAAACAGCAAACTTATCTACCATATCCAGATTCATAGCAAAAAATTGGCATTAGGTACGAAAATACCTTTTATTTTGTATAAAATTAAATAAATAAATAATATGAAAAATTATGTACATATATAATTTATAGTAATATTTTAACTTTTCAAAATTATTAGAAAATAAAAAATGAAAAATCTAAATTATTAGAAAATGAAAAATCAGTTAACCCTATAAATATATTATAATTTACATGTGAACATAAATTTAATTTTAACCACACATTTCGTAAACTCACTGTCCACTTATCAACCAGTCATTTTTATTAATTATAATTTCAATAGCTTATAACTAAATTCATACAAGTACATAGAAAATGACAACGAAAAAAAGGCAAACTGTTGAAAGTTCTTGATTCTCCTGAACATCAAAACAAAAGAACTGCTAAAGAATAATTGCACCCTTGATTTCATCAAGCATTTCGATATTTGCCAAGGATCCATATAAGTTCAAACTTGGTTCCCCTCGTATGCATCAATTGTTACATTCACGGTGACTAGAATGAGTATCTCGTATTTAAAACTAAAAGTTCGCGAGATTAATTCTCAAAAACCCGAATTCCATTTTCTTTTATAAACTATTTGTTTCGATTGAATGAATTGATCCAAAATTTGAGACAAATCGAAAAAAGATTCACAAGTAATTGTTACTGGATCTGAAGTTACCAATAACTCATTTCTTTTTGGATCGATTAGTACAGTATTATCGCATGTGTAGTTCTTCAAACTTCATTTTCTAAAAGCAAACTAGAACCAATTCAACTACGAAAGTAATTTTCCTGAACTTGAAACTCCTTATGACGCCCGCAAATTTTCTTCACGAGCTCCAATTTTTTTTTTGATATGTGCTAATATCTCAACTTTCCTTAATTGCATCACAAAGTAGCCAAGAGCAAAACCTAGTCATCAAATGCTACATCTAATATAGGAAGCTTTGCTCATTCATACATTAACAAGAAAATTACTCCAATAGCATCGTTTGACGTGATTATCAAGATCGTCATAGTTTTCATTAGGAAGAAGAAGATTACAATTGCAACTTCTCCCTCATCCCTTATTCTCACAAAACATGGCTCCTTCGAAAATTGAAAGCCTTTATATATCGTAGGAATAACTATGTAATATCAAATATAATCACCCATTCGGTTTCAATATTCAGTTTACATACAATAGAAGCAAACTAAAGAAAGATGAGAGATTATCTTTCACAAAGAAAACTCCTCAAAACATACATGCCAAGAAACAGCAAAAACCATCTTGTGGATTATCGACCAGAAGCTGATTTCTCCTTGCTTGGTACATTTTATAAATTTCCACCAGCTTCGAAGTCTCGGGCATAACATCTTTAATAGCACTATGTGAATAAAACCTCTCCGCCCATTCTGCCAAGCCCGGGTTGTTGATCTCATCGAGCCATTTTACGCCAATTAATATTTCTGTCGCTTTCATCCATCCCATGTAGCAACCTAGTGCAATATCAAGGTAACCAACATTATCTCCACCAAAAAAGGGCTTCCCTTTGCTACATTTGACAAAAGCCGCCTCCAACAAGACCAAACCTTCAAATATGCTGTCTAGAATTTCCTTTCTTCCCTCCTCTGTTGATGCTTCTCTAAGCTTCTTGTATAGTGGAAACCACTGGAAATCAACATTTCAAGTTTGTCATTATAGAATCCATTGTGTAATAAAAGTGACAAACTGTTTCTTGAATACAACAGTGGTGTCAAAATGGGCAGGTCTAGGGTGTCAAAGTTGTATTTTTAAAGTGCTTCTAACCCACCCATTTTGATACCTCTATAGACAATCGTTTGTCATGGAGTAAGGCCTAATTCCAGATTGCAAGAACAATGAAAGAAACAAAACTAAATAAAACACTTGTATTTAAAGTGTTTTGCCTTCAATGTGAGAATTACGTCTACGTATTGCTACCCTTTTTCACTGTGATGAAGAATATGATTGCAATAATTCTCTTGCACGAAGAAAAATCCTTAATAAATCATAAGAATACTAGGTTGATCTGTAGCTGATGCCTGATGGGGTAACTGCACAGTATAGTTGGGACTACTAGGCTCCACAATCTTCAACAACATTTTTGATTGTAAAATTAAAGAAAGAGGGGGGAAACTGAACCGTACCTTATCGTCAATATAGGCAGCCCAGAACCGGGCTAAGGCGCGGTCGTGGGGGTCGGAAGGGAGTATGGATGGACCATTATTCCAAGCATCATCGATGTATTCAACAATGATAAGGGATTCACAAATAGGTTTGCCATCATGGATAAGAACTGGGATTTTCTTTATAACAGGATTAGCTTTAAGAAGGCGCTCACTTCTGTCATTGGGATTCTCCTCAATGAACTCATACTCAACAGACTTTAAGTTAAGAGCCATTTGAACCCTGTTCACAAACGGACTTGCTGATGCTCCTAAAAGCTGCACACAACTTGCCATGGTTAATTCTAGGAAACTAAGACCAGATGTTAATACACAAGAAAGCTAGTTTTCTTGGTATTTATCCCAGTTTAATGCAACAAGAGGACAAGATTGAGGATTTCTTGTGAATACAAAATACTAGCAAGATTTGGCTTTTCTGTTGAGAATGAAGCATAAAAAACTAAACAATCATTGAGACCTCCGTCATTTCTGTGCAACATCATCGCTTGTAGTCAAGTCCTGCAGGCGCACACGACCCAGAAGAGCAGAAGAAAACATATTCTGGGAGATGGGCCCTTAAGCTCAGTCTGACCCATCTTGGGACGAACCTTACCAAAAAAAAAAAACACTACGACAGCCCGTACCCGTGCATAACCTGTCCTAGGCCTTCTCTTAATGGTCAAGACTTGATCCATTTAAAACCACTATATGTATGTATAGGTGCAGGAGAGGAAGCTGACTACCTATTACCTCAGGCTTGATTAGCAAAGTCAGTGGATTCGATCAGATTGGGTGTATATCCTGAAACAAAGTCTCCAAGTACTAGAGATTATAGTGCGATGACTTCTCTTCATACAAACAACAAAAGAACATCAAATTAAGCATTACCGCTAAAATTTGAAGTTAGGTGCAAATGAGTTATAACAAGACTTGAACAAAAGATATATTAACTCGGACAAAACTGTATTGTATGATATAAGAGGGTGACAGGAAGCCCGCACTCTCAAAAACAAAAACAAAATACATGTGAAGAAAAATCAGTGAACATCAATCAAATGTAAAAATCATCAAGATCTTCATTTCATTAGTACAACTCTTCAACTCTAATGCTGTAATTCAAGATTAATAATTTTTACGAGGGAGAGAAAGAGACGAGAGCAGATAGAGAAATGGCTCGATCAAAAAATTCATTAATTTGTCATTACCTCCAATGTTTACACAGCATGTTTGGTATGCACAACACTCGATAATATAATAAATAAAGGTTTATCTTCTTCTACTACTTTGAAGACTAGAATGGGTTGTAACAAGTAAGGATCAAACTTACCAAGTAAAATTCATGCTGAAGACCTCAAAGAACGGGTTTCTCATTGTAAGCATGCATGAGCTTTCTTTCTGCTGGACTCAGACGTAGGTCTTCTACATTTCCTACACAACCCTGTATCTTTAATCTTTCACAGAAGGGTACTACTGTGTCTACAGGAAAACCTTAAACCTTTTTTACTTAACTCTGTAATTAAAGAAAATGAAAAAGGATTCATGATAATTGAATAATCTAACTCAAAACAGTTGGTTGTTTTACTAACAACATATATGGAAAGATACCGAACCCTTTTTTCTCATGCAAGAAACTAAGCTATCAGTTAGTTGCACCTAATGGATGTTATTACTCGAACATTCACAACAAGAATAGGCGGAAGTTCCCTCACAAACTAATAACTGGAAGCTCCAAAATCCGAGCAACGTGATCAATTTTTCTCTGAGACAAAAATACATCAACGCCAAAAGAATAATATGCAGAAAAGTTTGGAGCAAGACCGTTCCTTCTTTCCCTGCCAAGAAAACGAAATATGACAACATCAATAAATTTCGAATTATGCAAATCTATGGTGTATAGAAGTATTGCTCAACCATAAAGGCATGTTTAGCACGAAGAATTTGGATAGGACTGGACAGTATTAAGGAAGAAAAAGAAATTAAACTCTTGTTCATTTTATTGCCACACATGTTCAATACTGTTTACCTAACATGCACTAAATGTATGAGCAAGTACAGTTCTCTTAGGTGAGATAATTACAGTTCTCTTAGGTGAGATAATTCTGTCTCCTAACCTTGAAAGCACCCGGCTTAATGTCTTCCCTTGGACACTTGGGAACCAGCTAAAGACCTTTCAAGAAGTGCCTTTGAAGTAACTGTAACACATCAAACAAAAAGATACACGACTTTTAGAATCCTAGGACCATTTATAGCATCAAGTCGAGACACGAGTAATTTTTTGCTACTCGATTCAGTGCATGATTCTCGCTACATACATAGGGTGTGTCTGTTAGAAACTTTCATCAGATTTTGAGTAGAAAAGTAATCGTTTTTTTTTCCACCTATGGTTCCCACCTATGAGACATGAGGTCAACAATGGCTGCTGAGTTTAAAAATTAATGGTACAAAAATCCATTTTTTTAAAAAGCTCCACCAGACACACCCATAGTTCCTAGAAGGAATGGACTCTTCATAAATTTATGTAAACAAGGAAAAGAAGTGGCCGAAAGTTACATATCTCTTAAATTAGTACACAATATGATTAAGATTACATATCAAGTAGAAACTGTAGAATCTGCTAACATAGAAAATGACAACCACAAAAGAACAATTTAAGGACAAACTGCTGGAAAGGTTATAACAATATAGATCTCTAGACAACAAAAGCACTTATTTTAACTTTATTTTGGAGGTATAATCTCCGTATATTCTTTCAGTCCTTCTTGTGAAACATAGCCTTGGTTTCATCAAGCATTTCAATGTTTTCCAAGGATCCAACAAATCCAACATTGATTCCTCGTATGTGTTGGTTGCTACATTCATAGTGACTATAATGAATATTTTGTATTTAAAACTAGAAGTTCTCCGAGTTAATTCTTGATGGCCCGAAAGGCTCGCTTTTCTTCCACAAGCTACTTGTGTCAATGAAACAGTTCAATTCTGAATGTTAGTGTAAACAGAAAAAAAGATACACAAGTGGTTTTTAATGGCGTTGAAGCACCAAGCACTCAAGAGTTGGTATCAGTTTAGAGCGAATTGCCTCAAGTTCAGTTCTTGAAACAACATTTTTCATACAGACTAGAGCTAATTACTAAGGTACTCGACAGAGAAAGCTTTGCTTTAGTTACATAAGCCAAAATCCTCATCCAATAGCGCCTATTCTATTAAAAAAGACAGTAAAATTGAAATATTTTAGTGTCCACTCTAGTCAAATACTCTATATCACCATCGTCGTCACTATTTTCTCCATGCCCTATCTATTTTTTCCTATCTTTTTCTTGTGTCTATCAGTAATAGGAACTAGAGAAAACCAGTTAGCACATGTCAAAAACCCATTAAAAGTAACTCTTGATCATTCTCAAAAACTGGATTCTTGATGTGCCGAGAAGACTTTCCTAATTGCTTTAAAATGGCCAAATGGCACCGAATTTTGATTATTACTGTGGGATTAATTGGGCCTATGTGGTTCTCTTTTAACACATTTGGGCCGGTTTCATTTGTGGCCCTTGGATTTCATCTCTGGCTGGGATTAAATCTTGTCTTTAGATATTTTCTTGGCTTGTCTTTTCTCTACATATTCACGTGGGATAGCTTCTTGGACNGGGCGCGGCCCCCTCGACCCCCGCGACCTGACCGGGCAGGTCGATCCCCGTTGCGTAGCGGCAAACACTAGTCGGAGCGGCAAAACATTCGCAAAACAAAAGATAATACATGCAAAATGATGAAAAATATCTAACATATTTCTTGTGTCTATCAGTAATAGGAACCAGAGAAAACCAGTTAGCACATGTCAAAAACCCATCAAAAGTAACTCTTGATCATTCTCAAAAACTGGATTCTTGATGTGCCGAGAAGACTTTCCTAATTGCTTTAAAATGGCCAAATGGCAGCGAATTTTGATTATTACTATGGCTTCTTATGATGTATGAAACAGTGTAATATTGCAATATATTAAGACAACAATTTATTACGACGAATCTGCTTCACTTTATTCCTCAGTTTTCCATTAACTGACGACAAGAATCCTAAAATTTTAGAACTAAACAAAGATTATTGATAAACCTGGCCTGATTTATTGGCGTAAAAAGCACATGGAATCAGCAAATACCACAAAAAACATTGCAAGAAATGGCAGAAATCGTATCTTGGTCAGGTCAGGACATATGAATTTTCAACCAGAAGCCGGTTTCCCCCTGCCTTGTAACATTTTATAAATCTCCACTAGCATCTGAGTCTCTGGCAGCACTTCTTTAAAAGCGTTATGTGAACAAATTTTCTCCGCCCATCCTGCCAGGCCCCGGGGTCTTGAGTTCATCGAGAAATTTCACTCCGGATATTACCTCTGTCGCTTTAACCCATCCCATGAGGGAACCTAGTGCAATATCAAGGTAACCAACATTATCTCCACCGAAAAATGGTTTCCCTCCGTCATACTTGACAAAAGTCTCCTCCAACAAGACCGAGCCTTCATATATTCTCCCTATGATTTCCTTTCTTGCTTCCGCTGTGGATGCCTCTCTAAGCTCCTTGTATAGTGGATACAAGGAGCTTAGTCCTTGTAATGAATGATCCGAATGGTTTCATTTATGCTCAACTATAACAGTTTCTCTTTTTAGCATCGTGGTCACGGATTAAGTCCTAATACTATTTACTAGAGCAAAAAGAAACAGCAACAAACTGAAAGCTTAGTCCACTTGTAACTGCACACCTATGAATTTGGGTCTCATAATAAAATGACACTCCAAAAATCCTTTATATATCA